TCCATTAGTGTGAGTAGTGCAAAGTCGGGTTTGTAATTGGCTAAATATAGTATTTGCTTCCTTCATAGCGTATTGTTAAACATAATGAAAATTTTCCATTATTTGCGGACATTTTAAGTCCACGAGCACTTATGTTTATATAAGCAACAGCTATATTGCTATTCTTGTTTTTAAACAAAATCTTCCCCCTAGGGCATAACTAAAAATAGCTTTTTTCGCTTAAGCTAGTATCATGCGATTACTCACTTCACTGGCTCAAATTTTGCCTGCGCGTAGTAGCGAGATCAATGACTTCGTCCAATTATTGTACTAATTTTTCATTCGTTTCGAGTGTTTTCTTAAGACCACGTTCAAATGTCAGTATTCCTGATAATCATTTTTGAGCCAAGCATGTGGTCTGTTATGAGCACCTGCGAGTAACCAGCCAAAAGCAATCGAGTGTATGACACTGCCCGTTTGGTTATTTTTATCACTTGATGGTTCAAGTAGTTAGTATATCTGCAGTTCCTCTATGTAAGTTCCTTAAGGGGCTTTTCTCAAAAGGGATTGGATCAAGAAAAAAGCCAACTGGCGAGGCTGCAAGGCCGAAACGCGTGTATTGCACTGTAAAAGTGCCCATAACAGACCACATGCATGACCAAAAAATAATTATAGGCGTAAAGTAATTTTAATCTATAGCACTTGTTAAGTTAGTCATTCTTGTTCCTGGAATAGGCGTAAGAGGAACATGATTTGGGCGTTCGAACAACAAACGCTCCTTCTCTTTAGTGCGAATTGGGTGCACGAGTGCTTGGCAAGCAGCCAGCGTTGTCAGAATACTAGTAACCTTTCTTGGCCGTTGCTATGTAAAGTACAAGTAATCCTTTCTGACATGATGAAGTGAGAGGTCTAACTTTTGTCGTTCACTGCATATATATCTGTCCTTTCCCTTCGGTTTTATAGCGACATAATAGTTTTTTTTCGCAGAAAGTCAAGTAGAGAAAACTCATCATTAAGTAGTTGAGCATCACACCTCTTCGTTTGCTCGCGAGCTTCACAAGAATCTCCAAAACATGAAATAGGTGTTGCATTATGCCTCCCATATTCAAATATAATCTTTTTCTCAACTTTCTTAGTTAGGATACTGTTCATGAATTGCAATTTGTATATGTTGTCGGACAGAGGCTGCTGGTGAAGCTAGTGAACAGGTGTTGTTTTCAGTTATTTTCGTTGGCAGTTTTTGAAGTAGTTCTTTAGTGAGAGTGATGAATTAGCATCCGGCACTTTTGCAGTGCTTTTGGTCCTAGACAGTGAATTGTTCGCCACTCTCAGACCAGTTTTGTGACGTTTCTGTTGATCGTCTCCAAAGAAGTGGAGAAACAAGATGATAGTGAAGGTTTAGAAGACCTAGACTTTATTTACATGTTTTCGCTTAAAATAGCTAAGTTTGATTGAGAGTTCAATTTGAATCTCAGATCGACAGATCAGAACGTATTCAGTTAGGACTGAATCAAACAAAAGTGAAAAACAATATATGAATTTCAGCTGATTTCTTGCATATTAGAGCAGTTAGACATAACTCATTTAGCTCAATATCTTCCACCCAATGGAATAATAGTCGAACATTTATTCAGCCATCAAAATTTGACGACGCTGATTGTCTGAGCGTCAGATTATTCAGAATCGAAAAACGCTTATGAATCTCCAATTTGGTTTCACTTCTTGAGCACTGTTTTTTTTTTCGGTCAACGTTATCACTGCTGTATTGAATGGACGATGTTCTTTGCTTATCGTCCCTAAGAGGCGCAATTTATGCATGAAAATGCATTCGTGCTAATTAATACTGGAAACATTTGTCTCGTCGATGGAAGAGACAACTCTGTGAGAATGTCAGTTGCGGCAATGAAACTAGATCTAGGGGTTCTTAACGGGTCAAAGTCTCCATGTCACATGCTTATCTTCGATGAAGTTTTCTATCGTGAGCGTCAGGTGATACGACATGATGATTGCACGCACCGCACTCACCCAAACACATTTCTCAGTCATTTATGTTGCCTATGGTCCAACCCGATGAGCAAAAATTCTATGACTAAATACTCGACTGTACAAGGTGCTGTGAAAAGTTGTGAAAGTGTAAATTCGTCTTTATGGCCTCGTAACGACAACCGTGCTCCTTTTCAGTGACATCAAACGTTATTTATGGTATTTTACGGTGTCGCAATTGTCGATGAAAGACTAAATCAGAGAAGAATGCGACGAAAAGAAAACTTTGCCATCGTGTGATTTCGAACACGTTTATATTTTATTGGGAACTTAATAATTACTGCATTACGAGTTTTATCTAAAAAACAAACGCAGAAACATCCGTAGACATTTTGAAAGAAACAAATTTTGTTACTTTCCTAAATCAAGCTCTGAAGAAATTGTTAGATTAAGAAGCCTGCTGATCAATGCTTATAACTCTGTGAGCACCGAGTCGATGAATTAGAGAAGCTGTAAATTTTTACATAATTACTTCTTACCTCTTGCTTCTCCTTACAAGTTTTACCATACATTATGTTATTCACTGATGTATGGTCAATTATTAGAAGCAATGGAATGGATCTTTGATCTGAGTTTCTTGTAGCTTCTTCCTATCTAGTAGCTTTTAGTGTTGTTGATGTGTTCTTTGAGCATTCTTCTGTATCTGCAGAAAGAAGCACATGGATTGCATGAGAGTGTCAGACTAGAAGCGCTTATCAGAAAGGCACAGTCCTTTCGTACTAAAACTCAAAATAGACGTTAGTATGACAAGTTGACACAATCTTCTGTAGAGGGTGCAGAAAATCAACTGCTTCGTCCAGTAAGCTTTCGAGTGCCGTCTCAATCGAACTGAAAGTGCTAGGACGCTCAGCGTATTCCACCCTCTGTTGTGATTTCTGTTTTATCGAAAATGTAATATTAAAGCAAGCCACAGGCCACACCTCTGTCACCTGTCCCTTTTTATCAACGGTTTTCTTTCTGACCACTCTCTTCCATGTTATTGCCCTGCTTGGATATATATATATATATATATATATATATATATGCATATGTATACACACGTATATATGTACAGACGTATACATATGTATGCACATGTATATATTTTTCCTATTTGTTTATCAATTTATGTTTTCTACGAAAGGCACCTTTCAATATCACTGCTATTACGATAATGAACCTATCGCAGCGTATCTAAAGGCTCAGAAGGAAATCTGGATGTACTTGTCTCATCCGAATGGAAACTAAACCGCTCTGACCCGAATATTGACATAAATATTTCTTACGACATATTTTATTGAGTGCTGGCTTCCTTGTGCAGTTCCAGATTTCCATCCGTTATCTAATTCTTTACTGATAATTCATTTTCTATGCTCCAATTGCTTCTTTTTCAATGTAATGACTCTTTTATATGTTCTGTTCAAAATTCACAAAAAAGTGCAACTTCTTTCGCGTACTTAAATGGTTCATATTCTCGAAAGTCACATGCTCTCCATAATAAATTTTCAATTCGCCGATATTTTGCTTAGTTTGTATGCTTTACGTCCTTGGTATCCGTTGTAGTCGCTATAGGGCATACTTATGTTGTCACCACAAACGGGCGCTGCTAACCGACGAAGTGGGATTTGTAGCCTTACAACTATCTTGGCTAGTATTTGCTAATCCATACCTTGATTTTTTGCTTTTATTTACTTAGTTGAATTTATATGTAGAAGTGACAAATTGCTTCTTTGTTTAGGTGACCCTGTCAGAAAATAGAATCCGTGTGGTATATTTCCGTTGGACACATTTCGGTAAAGTTAACTATCGAATATAAAGAAAAATATTTTAGCATTCGAATGATTCATAAGGCAAGTGAAAGAATTTGGCGAGAATTCTCCGTAGCAGATGACTTTGTAACTGCTGGAGTTCTTGAAATAGGGTATCATTAGTTTTCAGTCAAAGTAAGTCATCATTCGATTAGCAGTAGAGAACGAGCTCGTGCATTCTTAAGTGAATCTTAGCTTTAGCCTCGTCTCGGAGTGTTTTTGGCGTTCGACGAAAACTCACATGATCAGTTTCACAAAAGATTGACTAACTGATTTCGCTGCTCAGTTTCTTCTTAGCCATCGGGCCATTTATCCTGTTGGTTTCATCGTACATTTCGGAGGAAGAGTGAGGCGATTTTGTTCTCAAGACGTATAAGCTCATTTGGTTACGTGTCTCACATTATTCCCACATAATCTCAGATAATTTTTATGCATTAATTCTCAAAAATCCTTTCGCCATTCTACGTCCACCATAAGCATCTGCCGAGGCGTCTACTCCTCGTTACTTTATGTCGTCTTTCTTTTCGAAAATTGTTCAAACAAGAATTTTAGGTGAGAAAGAGTAAGACTTTCACCATACCTACCATGGAATCTACATCGTGAAGACCTGAAACAGCCCTTTGCAAGGTAAATTGAAGAATCCAAGGAAGACCAATATGCACAACCAGAAGTCATAGCTACCGTAGTTCATGCTCTCTTGAGATCACTGAATGTTGTTGATTTTACGACTTTATGCGAAACGAATGCCAAAAAATTTGAATAACTAATTCTAATGACATCGAGAGGGTTTCTGACGCGAAATCAAGCTTCTGTGAAATTTTCTTCTTCTTCTTCTTCTTTGATAAAGCGCGAGCCATTCATAAATTATGCGTACGAGTGTCCCATTATCTCCACACTGCGTACTCACCGGAATCACTAAATTCGTTGATGACTACGGTATTTCATAGCTCTGCACCCTAATGATTATGAAGATGTTTTAAAGTGCCATGAACTCGTCCGTCTACGCAAAAATGTCTTCGCTACAAAATTTTGACGTTTTTTTTTTGAGGAAAAGGGAACACGTGCGCATTTCTATTCATCCTTAGACCTCCCTCTCCCCCATATAAACACTTCGTACTATTTGTTACTAGCCAATGTTTGGGTGGTTTTTTTTCTCAGGAGAACTGTTGAAGAGTGGATGGCAGAACAGGAGTGTCGCTAGTGCAATTGGTTACCACGCGCCCCCGGAAAGGGTGAAACAAGGGTTCGATTCCTCTCCGACACATCCAGAGTTTTGCGTATTACTCAACGTTGTTGGGATATATTTGTAATATGATATCACCGCATAAAGCGGTCAATGAAAAAAAATTATAGTTGAACTATTGTACGCCAAGTGAACTCTGGTTGGTCAACTGGTGATAACTCGTCCACTTGGTCTCAGTGAAGAGTTCAGCTCCCTGGGCTTTCGCCCTTTAGCGCCAGGTCACGATAACTCTGCTGAATACAGGGCAAGCCGCGGCTTTCCCGCCCGTACTCTTCGCGGGGTTTGCACGTGACTTGGCCGTTGTCGAACCCTCGTCGACCCCTACAGGGGCGGCGACGACGACGACGACGACGACGACGAAGATCCGTGTTATCTCGGGCGCCCCAAATCTTTTGCAGACAGCCGGCGATTGCCGGGCGTTTTTCTTCAGCACACGCGTCGCGCGTCTTGCCACGGCGCGCACTCTCTCGCGGTGCGCTCGCCGCCTGGCGCACTCCACGCCGCGGCCGCGCGTCGCTCTCACATGGTGTTGGCCGGTTGCCAAACGCCGCCCAGCACATCCCGCCGCGCGGGCCGGCCGCCGCCGTCTGTTACACGTCGTTATTATTTCGACTCCGTGCGTCCGCTGCCCCACCCGACACCTTTGCTTCGTCGCTGGTAATCTATGCCTCGTCGTCGTCCTCCTTTGGAATCCTCTCGTGGTGGTGCAACTCTCCCTTTTGCAGTCAGTCGCTTCCCCGCAGTCGCCGCCGCTGGTCGTATTCGTCGACGAATTTCAGGCTCGTCGCCATCGGCGGCTTGTCTCGCGTTCCGGCGTTCGTTCCCCCTCTGCACGGGGTGCTGCATCCGTCCGAGGAGCCGCCGCCGTTGCTGCAGGCCGGCGGCTTTCAGGGTGTGGCGCCCTGGGCGGGGTTGCGTGAATGACGTGTGTGGCGACTCCGCCCACCCGCTGCATTCATTCCGCGATAAGTGCGCATCCCTGTGTGCGAGCGGGCGGGCCGACGGGCACTGCTATTTCCTCGTGGCGCTGCTGGTGGTGGTGGTTAATGCGTTTATTTTATGGGCTGATTGAGCTTCAGCGAGTCCTCCGAAATATGTGGTGGTTTGGCGACGGTTGCACCGCTTCTCATTATGTATTCGGTTCTGTCATACTTCGTTTTATGAGCGCCGGCGCGCGCTCATCGTCGTCCCGTGATATTCGTGCCGTTGCGTCGTGCGTGCGATACGGCGTGACCTCCCGTCGAGGTCCCGACCAACCGGAAGCTCTTCTTTCTGATCTCTCATCGATTTTTTCAGATCAAATCGTTTTTGTTACGTCGCCGATCGACGTCGTATCTTATCTCGAATAGCGTCTATAGCAGGCAGAAAATTCGAGTATTTCGCAGCTATTCTCTATGTTTATGAGCCGCCTTCGAAAGATGGCGATTGGTAGTCTAGTGACGACAGACCGATCAGGTTCGTTCATAGGCTTTATTTCTCTCTAATTGAGGTTTTTTCTTGCCCATTATTTTCTCATTTTCTCGGAAATTTCCATTGCCTTCTATGCCTATGTGTGCCATTTGAACGCTCGTGTTGTTGCCTTTTTTGACATGGAATCAATAGTAGTAGAACCGTGAGATTCTGTCCTATCATTGTTCACGGCGTGTTCGATTCCTCATCTACAGTAATCTTCAATTTTTTTCTCTGTTACTTGAGAAAGTTAGAGAATAGGAGGTATTCTTTCTCGCTTCCTGTCTCACGAGTTCCAGAGATCACATGACTCTCTTAGTCAGCCATCGATGTGCCCCCCCCCCCACTCATATTAAAAAAGAATATATAACAAAATAAAAAATGCAGCTATGGTACTGTTTACTTTTGCTTGCTCTGCATGGAGCAGATCTGCCGACAAATTGAGGCATTTCTTTTCTTTTTTCTTTCCCGCCATACGCAACATTCGTCAATTTCGCACCGGTGTCAATATACTTTTGTTAGGGAATTCTTTTTGTTGTTCTTTGGGAAATTCCTTTCTCAAGGGCTGACTAACCCTCTGGGATGTCTTACTCTTAGGAATTTGATCAATTGGGGCAAAGGGGTAGATCAAATGATTTTGGGTTCTCTTACCCTTGTTTTACACCTCCTACTCATTTTTCTTCTGACTTGCTGGTGTTCAAGGGCAATAGGCTTGCTAAAAGACGTTAATTTTTGAATCTTTTAGTTTATATCACAGATTGAGTGAGTTAATTCTGGCTTATAGTAGCTTGATTTCCCTTCGTTAAGGTCACGACTACGTGAATTTCAAGCGACAGTACAAACTTGGAGCCGAGCTGGGTCGAGGCGGATTTGGTACTGTGTACTGCGGTTTCCGGATTACGGACAATCTTACGGTTGCATGCAAATATGTGACTCGATCGAACGTCACTGAATGGGCTTGTGTAGGTTTTATTTCACGGTTCCTTCTTTGGCGCTAGTAAAGAGTTCTGGTTCGATCTTTTTTCTAAGCTTAAGCTTAAGCCTAGGCCTGCTCCCGTAATCTCTTATCTTAAGAGGAATCAGTTTAAATACTACCTTAAAATTGATAGGACCTTTACTGTCGTCAAGAGCACTTTCTTTTTTCTTCTATTTCGTCTGTTTTGCATGTTTATTACGATTGACAACGAGCGGCGTGAGTTGCTCTCTCTTCTCTTCCGTTGTTGATATGTAATAGCGCTCAAGCAGCATTCTCCCCGGTGCTTCTAATCAGTCAATTGCCGCTGCCGTTCGAATGAATGTTTGAATAGAAGAAATACTTCCTCTTTGCATGATAATAAAAGCGTACGGCTTCCGTCTCATCTGACCTGTCTTGTTTCAGTTGGACGGACGAATGGTTCCGCTCGAGATCGTACTACTGATGCGATGTCGAGGCATTCCTGGTGTCATACAGACGATTGATTGGTTCGAGAGACCGGATGGCTATATGATTGTGATGGAACGTCCAAGCCCATCGACGGACCTCTTCGACTACATATCGGAACGAGGTGCTCTCACCGAAGATGTGGCTCGTGACTATTTTCGCCAGGTTTGTTTTGTGGGGTATTCCTTCCCACCAGGTGATCGGTTTTGATTGTGCTGTTCGGCCCGATTATTGTCAAATCTTCTAGGTGGTCGACACAGTACTTGCGTGCTATCACGTCAGTGTCATTCATCGTGATATAAAAGACGAGAATCTGGTTGTGGACATGAAAAACGGCGTGGTCAAGTTGATCGACTTTGGTTCGGGTGCTTTTCACAAAGATAGACCATATACGGATTTTGAAGGTATGTCCAGTATCTGCTGCTTACTTGTTAACCTAGGTTAAGGTTTTCAACAGCTATACCCGATTTCTGCTTTTCTCTGAATAGTGGCCACGACGTCACCTCACTCTCTTTTCTATTTAGTTATGTATATGTCAGACTTGCCTTGTCCGAAACTCGTGAAGATTGTTGTGAGCTGTCATTTTTGCTCTGTCACATCCACAAACAATGAAAAATGATGACTTTACCCTTTCGAGATGTGAGAGATCACTTGTGGAATGTGCATTGGCACCCGACAGTAATCATTTTTAGCGATCGAATCTTGGCTGGCACCAAGGTCTTCCTTCCTTCCTTCATCGGTCGCAACGACGACGACAACGACGATCTCGTTCTTTACTCATGCGGTCGGCGGCCGGTCGTTCGTTTTGACTGGCACGACACCAATGACGACGACAACGACGACGACGACCTGTGCACATAAATCGGTCACTAGTCGGAGTCGTCGTGTTGGTTCGCATTCCTTTGGAATTGCGCGCAATTGTTTGGTGTATTGGCGATGCGCCAGCAGGCAAACATTGGCTCGTATCCAAGTCGTGGCCACTTTCCCGCGCATTGACCTCGTCCTCCGCGCTGAGGACAGAGAGGAGGAGCGTGACGGTGATCGTTCTTGATCATTCTGACAGCCTCGATGGCCTCGATGCTGGTGGATTCTTGCAGACAATCGCATCTGTTATTGTTATTTTTTTGCTCGACATCTAATTAACTGCATAATAAGTGCTGGGAAATTGGCAATTCGCCATGTGCGAAGGTGTTTTCTTCATGGACGGAACGCTTAATTGGACTGGCGGCGGCAACGAGTGTTCGCTTCATGCCGATCGAGTCAACAAATTGCCTCGTTTAGCAAAACTGCTGCGTGTGTTTATCGTCGTCTAATTGATGATAGCTGCTTGTAGTCTGCATTCTTAACTTACTGCTCTGCGCATACCTTTACAATGTGGTGTTGTTGTTGGTGGTGGTGTTGATGGTAAGCCGCCGATAGCTCAGCATCCTGGCCGGCGCTACCACAGCAGCAGAGACGTACACTGACCGTTGACCTCGACCCAGTTGTTTACCGCTGTGACCAATACACATTCGGTTCACACTACCAGTTATAGTGAATGAGCGAAATCACGCGTCATCTACGCTATGAATTTCTGGTTTTTCGGAGGAAAAAGACTTCAGGAGTTGTCCGTATTTGATGATCCGCATGGTCAAGCAAGTATATTATCGTTCCACTTCTCGTTCAGTGCAAATAAATCTCGAACTAACTTGCATTACCCAAAGAAACTGCGTTCAGAGCAGCTAAAGCTGGAGCTCGTTCTCCTATAGTGTTGCAAAACACCCGCCTACATGGGCATTTTTGCTCAGTATTAACTAATGCAGGACTTATTGCCCACGAGAAATGTCCCACCCTTTGAAGCAGTACTGGGTGTTGAAGTACACAACGAACCAGCCACTCGATTTCCAATGATCTGAAGTTTAATGAGGGGTTTTGGAACGAGCACTCAAGGCAATTGTTGTGTAACAATGGTATGATGCTTGTCGAGAGATGAAGTTTGAATAATGGGCATCAAAAGAAGTGATTCTATATCACTTTTGCGTTATGTAGCCATTTTAACAAGAATGATTAAGCGATGTGTAACTGCAATTAATATAGAATTATGTTCCTAAGGCATTATCTGATCCTGAGTAGTGATTAATGTTAAATTGCTGTAGGCCTTGCTTGCGAATAA